GACTGAAGTTGTACCCTGAAGTGATTGCTGGATGCTTAGTGCCCTGAAGACATGGGGAGCCATAGATTCTGTTAACTGCTCAAAACATATGTAATGTTTTTGGTTGCCAATCTATATTCTCTGACACTTTTTGAAGTCTTGAAGTAACTGAAGGAGGTAGGAAAGGCCTAAAAGATTGGGGCCCCCACAACATTTCAAAGCCCTTTTCTCTCTTTCCATGCTTTTCAGTGGCAACCAAAAGTACTCTTCCTCTCCAGCTCTCAGGGTGCTTAAGTAGCAGCACCTTTTCCTTTCTGTATTAGCCATGACTTCTTGGAAACAGCTCCTGTTAATGTGTGATGGCCCTTAAAGGATAGCTAGGGGCACCTACAGCCAGTTTCTAGCTGCAATGCCTTCTAAAAAAAAGAATAGGGCTAAAACATCATCTTCTTCCATTGGAAGGGAGAGAGGGGATATGTCCACATGCTTCTTTGGGCCAAAAGAACCTGGGTAGAGTGTTCAAGGAGAGGTAGAAGACTGGAAAAAGGCAGAAGAAAGGTCAGTGACACTGTGGTGGGAAGAAAGTCTAAGGGCATGCTGGCCAAGCCCAAAAATGGACAGAGCTGAAAGTCAATGGAGCCGAGCACTGATTTACAGCATCTGAGCATTGAGTTCAAAGTCTCTAGTGCAGGCTTAAAAAGAAAATCAGTAAGAACTTACAATATAAAGAACACACTTTTATCATCTCAAAGTCTTGGTTGGCTTCTGCTCCTTTTGTGACTTCCAAGACACTAATGTGCAGCACTAGGAAGCAGCATTACTAGGCTAGTTATTGGTAGAGCCCCGAGCCATACTATTTGCTTTCTTTTCTACCCCGTTAGCCTCCAAACACCACCAAAGTTTCCTTCATGCCCAGGACCCTGAGATGCTTATTGATCCAGGACCTCAGCACTAGTACACGTGGGAAAGCCCTCATTAGAGCCAGTTCTGCCGGCCCATAACAACTGTGCCAGCAGCGCCCACTTCTCTAGCAGAACCAATTTTGATACAGTCAGGCCTTTCACATTATATTTATTCAGTGCTTGACAAATGACTGCTTGGTGCAGCAGAATGGCAGTGAATCAAGAACTCAAGGAGGCACAAAGAAACATTAGAGAATCGAGGGCACAAGCCAACTCCACCCTTTCTGGGATGCAAGATCTTTCCCCATTGCTCAGATCTGTCTAAGCACTCCTGTAGGGAAGACTGATCATATTCAGCTCTGTCTATGCACATGGCAATTGTAGCAGCAAAGTTCTAACACAGACAATCCCTTTTATTCACCTCTGGGCTGGCAACTTGCAACAGGTGCATCATCGAAATCATCTCCTTAAGCCCACAGGATGCAGTGAGATCAGGTTGGGATATGGGGAGGAATGATGGATGCTAAGAAGCTAGAGTTGGGTCCCAGAGTGCTATCAAAACTGAACCACTAGGGGGCAGGGGCACTAGATGATGGATAGGCCAAATTTTCTGCTCGTGATCCAGGGTCATATGACATGAAGAACAAGCTGCTTGATGTTAATAGGGTTTTGTAGTTGTAACTTGCTCTAATTCTTTAGACAGCCCAGTTCTCTACTCTTACAACCATGACTCAGAGTATGCCAGAGAACACTGCAGACTTTATTGAAACTTAAGACACTTCGACCACTATTCTCCTAACTTCCACAACAACACATACTCCAGTTCTGAATCCATCCCACTACCTTCTAAAACTGAATGCTTCTCCCTCCCCATCCCCAAGCTGGATTGGCAGAGTAGTTTGAAGTAAGTGGCAGGATAAATTGTCATGTGTTGTCTTGGATCTTGGAGAAGTGCTGGAAGGTAAAGAATCTAGATTTTTTTAGAACCAGTGCTAAGGCATTTGACCTTTAACAGCCATCTCTTAATTAGCATTCCTGGCAGCTGGTAATTTCATATTAGAGGTATAATAATAAAAGTTGCAGAACACTGCTTTCTCAACCTAAGACTGCGCAGCAAAGGGAGAGTTGGCAAAAACATATGAGGATTAGGATGAGGCATCAAAAAGTGCTAGAAAAAACAGCAGCTTCATCATGAAGTCTCTCACTTTCAGGTCATCCTGGAACAAGTGTGGGCCAGAATTATTATTAAGCTGTTTAGTTACCTACTAGACATGAAGTGAACTGAAATTGAGGACCCTCAACCCATTTCTCAGTGGACATGAATCCTCCCTCTTCCCTAAAGATACCTAAAACATATTATTCCTCCCTAAATTATTTCCTAAAACAAATTATTCCTCCCAACACCTTGCCAGTGAGCTAAATTGACCATGGAAACTAGTTTACCCATTCCAAAATGAAGGAAAAACACCAGGTCTCCATTGCTTTTAATCCTACGGGTTCATTAAACCCAGAACCATGTGTCGTAAGTGGCCAATTCCGATTAAAAATACATCAAACAGAAAGTAGCTGTTACAAAGGAAATGGAGATAGATAAGTTGTAAACTCCATTTGAAACATTGTGTATAAACTGTTCAAATGAAGCTGTGATAAGCAGTTTCAGCAGGAGTGGTTTGAAGGATCAGAAGAGTAAGAAAAATGTCTTAGAAGAATTTATGCAGACCACAGGTACCACCTGATGTATTACTGTAATGTATTTTTTATGCAGCTCTCACCCATGTGTGTGTGAACTGGTAAAGTGTTGGTCCATGGTGCATCATCAAACTGAACCCAGGAACTGATGGATGAAGGCAGCTCTGATTTGGGAGACTCATGGTTCTCAAGTACAGATGCTGATGCAGAGTCCTCCACCTGGGGTTTCTCCAATACATCACTCAGCTCGCTCTGCAGGGGGTCCTGAAATTCTCCATCCACATTATGGTTATCTTCTGAGGAGGTGTCTGAGGAAGAAAAATGTCTTTCCAGAGGCTCTTCATTGCTACCTAAAGTAGGAACACAACATATAAATGTCTCCACACCAAATTTAACAATACATTCTCAAATCTTTTAGAGGATGGGATGTAAACTGAGAAGTGGGGAGATGAATAAGGCAGACAGGGTGACTCCTGGAGAGGATATGAAAGGAGAGAGTAGCACCCTTACAGACCAAAGAAATGCAATCTGTAAGGTTAACATTATCCTATTCTAAACCAGGCAGATATTTTACCTACTTTCCTGGATGGTTCTTTTATCTTAGAGAAGGGTATATCCCAATTCCTAATTAGCCTTTTGAACAAATTTGTGATAAAAATCATTCCAAAAATCACAGTTCTCTCAGCTAAGTTGACATGGCTAGTTTGCATATCAATAAATCCATGGAAACTTGGGACTGCCTGGTTGTCATTACTGAACTTCCAAGTCAGAGTGGGCGCCGAAGCTCTAAGATCACTTATACACATGACAGGGGTTTCATCTTCTATGCCCTCTAAATTGAAATGGTTGGTTTTTAATTGAAACCCACCATTTCTATTTAGGGGTTTTATTTTTCCGTCACTATTACAATGAGGGGCCCCAATCCTTGTTTTTTTCTTTCTTTCTTTCTGATAGAGTCTGCCTGCAGTGGGGGGCAAGCTGCCAGTGGGCTGAGTGGCCCCTGAACTGCGGGGACTAGTCCTTCCCTCTGTGGTAGTGGTGCCCCCCAGAGAAGAGCTGGATTGGGCCAGGTGCTGCCTCTGAGCTAGGGCAGCCCAGGGGGTGCCACTGCCATGGAGGGAAGGACCAGGGCCCCCTGCAGCTTAGGGGCCACTTGACCTGCTGGCAGCTTGCCCCCCAGCTGTGGGAGAGGTGGGCAGGCTCTTACAAAAAGAAAAAAAAAAGGATCAGGCCCCTCACCGCTTCTGCTTTCAGCAGGTATCTGCAGAAGGCAGAAGCAGCAAGTAGCCCAATCCTTTTTTTCTGCAGAGCCTGCCCACCTCTCCTGCAGCCAGGGGGCAAGCTGACTAATAGTTAACTAGCACTAGGATGTAGTTTAGTTTGCAACAATGCAAACTCATTTAAAACCCTCAAAACTCACATGTGTGTAATATGTGATGCCATTAAGCATCAAAAAGGAAATTTCTGTCACATGTACAAGCACCCAAAAAAGCTCAGGCCCCTGCTGGCTTTTTTCCTGGTAATAGTCCAAGAGAGAGGACACAATTCAGCAGATTCTATTCTATTCTGTAGAGGGCAATACTGCAACCTAAACTTCACTCCTAAAAATGGCAGACATTTCTACTCCAAAAATAGGTCATGCCTGAAAGATGTTAGTGAATGTGCAAACACTAATGCAGAGCAGACAAGGATTTTGTACCTTTAATACAAATGGTAGCTGGTTGTAGCTGACTGTAAACTTCCCAATAGGGGTTGTCATGACCACCTAACTCATTAAAAAAATTCACACTCATCTAAACTTACTTTAAAAAACAAAAACAAACAAGCTAATTTTCTCCCCTTTTCAGATACATTGTCTGTTTTCATGCACTGGGCAGGACTGGTCCATGCACGAGCCAAGGGGCACAATGTACACAGCAAAGAGCGTCAATGTGAGGGTTTCCTAATGATGCAGATCTTGAAAGAAAAATAAGCACCTACTATCAGAATAGCCTTTTTGTATTTTACCCTTTAATAAACAACAGTCCTAGAAGAGAGAAATTAAAAATCTTCACTGTATTAGCAATAGAAAAAAAATCACGCAGTCAGGGTCCATTTTCATAGAAAAGGAATTAAACATAGCTTGTATAAATAGCATTTCTGATGGCTAATGCTGAGATGCTCTTTGGCCTTGAGTTTTTTAACCAAACTATCACCCTAAGAGGTGAACCACTATGAACAGAAGAGATCTTTGTTGCAGCTGCCTTCTATTTGTTTATTTCCAAGAATGGTCTATAGACAATCTCAGTAGAAACTTCTGACTGTAGTTCAATTACAGATTTTACACTCCTTGTTCTGACCCCGATTGTACAAGGTGAAACATACTATATAATCAGGGCAAGACACCCTTATAACTGAAGGCAAAACTGGATGTCCTAAAAAACAAAAAACAAACCCCAAACAAAACAACATACACAAAAATTCTGGTATTTTCATGTGCCTATAATTCTTGAGTAATTACAGACCGCTTATCCTGACTTTACAGTTGGCTCTAAGAACTATCCAGGTTTTAAAAGTCAGTCTGTAAACAGTTTGAAACAGAAACAGGTGATCAAAAACACCCAACATGGATTTGTTAAGAATAAACCATGCAAAAACACCTTGATCTACCAGTACTTTCTTGACAGATTAACTAATGGGGTGAATGAAAGGAATGCAGTGGACATAATATACTTTAACTTTAAAAAGGTTTTTGATACAATCCTACACAATATTCTTATAAACAAACTGGAGGAATGTGAATTAGAAAAAAAATACTGTTATGTGGATATATAATTCACTGAACAGCTGCAAATAGCACAGATTATAAAATGGATCAATGTCAGGCTGTCAAGAGGTTTCAAGTGGGATTTCACATGGTTCTGCCTTGGGGCCAGCATTGTAACACACCAAGTGTGCAAATGATACAAAACTGGGAAGGACTACACACATTTGGAAGGGAAGGACTGGAATTCAAAAGGATCTTGGTGGACTAGAGAACTGAGCACTGGATAACAGAATGAAGTTCAGCAAAGACAAACTTTAGCTGCTAGGGAAGAAAAAAAAGTGCAAAAATATAGAACGGGAGAGAACTGGTTAAGCAGTAACATTTCTAAAATGAATCTAGGGGTTTTGATGGAGCATAGACTCAACATGAGTCAGTGATGGCATGTAGTCACAACAAAAGCAACTGCAATTTTGGGCTGTATTAACAGAAATATCACATGAAAGACACAGGAGATGACAGTCTACTCCAGCTGATGCCTAACTGGCAATGAACACTGTGTGCAGTTCCAGACTCTTCATTTTATGAAGGATATAGAGAAAGAGGTGAGTGACCAAAATTATTAAGGGGTTGGAATGCAAGTTATACAAGACAAGGTTGAGGGAACTAGGTATGTTTAGTTTGGAGAACAGGAGATTAAGGAGGGTGGGGGACATGATAGCAGTTTTCAAATACTTGAAAGTCTGCCATATAAAAGATGGAGAACAACTATTTCTTGCTGTAAAGAGTAGGACATGAAGCAATGGATTTAAAACTGCAGCAGAAAAGATAGAGATTAAATCTCAGGAAAAACTTCCTTACTGTAAGAACAGTAACAAAATAGAGCAAAGCTGCCCGGGGAGCTGTGGAAACTCCTCCATCTGAGGTTTCAAGAAGAGGCTAGATAAGTATTTTTTGGATGGTTTAGGAATAGCATTTTGCATTGGTGCAGGGGTTAGACTAAATCAGGGGTGGCCACAAGCAGTATGGCCGGCCTCCGTGTGGCGTGCAGCAGATATGGGAGGGGATGGACAGAACAGCACCAGATAGGGCAGAAAGCAAAACAGGATATTGGGCAAGGAGCAAAAAGCAGAGCAGCAAATCAGGCAGAGGTAGGGAATCAGAGTGGCACTCAGGGAGGGTGTGGGGCTCATTCATGACATCTGCCAGAAAAGGTTGGCCCATGCTGAACTAAAAGATCATTGACATCCTTCTTCCAAGCCTATGATCCTATAATATTTTTACCCAGGTTTTTTTATTATGCCAGGGAAGTAAGAGGTAACAACCTATAATCCACTGAAAAAGCAAGTTCCAAGACCCTAAACCTGTGTTGGTACTTGGGTAACATAGGTGAAGAAAGTCTCAAAGGGTTACAAAGAAATCTGAGGTTATTTACCCTGTGAAGCTGCAGGAAGGAGGAGCTCATCACTGAAGGATACCCACTCAGACTGGTGGGAGGCAATGATACTTGTCAGCGACGTCATGCTCGTGACAGGCTTCTCATCTTCACTCAGTGGTTGTAGAAGAAGCCCAGGGTGGATCAGGAGCACAATCAACAGAGAGCAGCACCTCCTACCACCTCAAATTCTGTTAAGAGGCAAGGAAGAGTATAATTAAGTTTCTCAATATTAATTGAAAAAGCAACAAGCCCCACTATTTTAATAGTGTTGGGCGCTTGTATACATGACAGGGGTTTAGTCCTTAGGGTTGCATTCTATGCCCCCTAAACTGAAACTGTGGATTTTTAATTGAAACCTATTGTTTCCATTTAGAGGTTTTATTTTTCCATCAGTTACAACAAGGGGCCCAATCCTCCATCCTCTCCCACCCCAGCACCCCAGTGGGCAAGCAGCCCCTGAATTGTTGGGAGCCCTGGTCCTTCTCTTCACAGCAACAGTGTCTTCTGGGGCTGCCCGGGTGGGCTGCTGCCCCAGCTTAGAGGCAGCACCCGACCTGATCCAACTCTTCCCCAACCCCAAGCTGGGACACCACCTGGCTTGCTAGCAGCCCACCCGGGCAGCCCTAAGGGCACCACAGTCACAGAGAGAAGGACTGGGACCACCAGCACCTCAGGGGCCGCTCAGCCTGCCAGCAAGTCACCCCCTTGCCGCAGGAGAGGCAGGCAAGCTTCGCCAAAAAAGATCATCCCCCTCGCTGCTTCTGCCTTCGGCATGCACCTGCTGTAGGCAGAAGCGGTGAGGGGCCCGATTCTTTTTTTCCCTGCAGTCTGCCCAGCTTTCCCATGGTCAGGGAGCAAGCTGACTAATAACTTCCAACACACTGTTGGAAACTAAACTACATTGGGATGTAGTTTAACTTGCAACAATTCAAACTCATTTAAAACTCTCAAAACTCTTGCACATGTACAGTGTGACACTGTTAAGCCACACAAAGTGACATTTTCATCACATGTACATGGTAATGACATCACATGTACAAACACTCAAAGGCTACTGCATTTCACAAGCTATGCACACAATACTGCCACAATTCAGCCACCTCTGGGAATTCAAACCTAACCTTTGCATAGGGAAGGGATAAGTTTGGGCAATAGCACTAAGACAAACCCCTACTTTAAAGATTACGGTATTTAAGATTTCTTTCTTAAAAAAAAACAGTTCTTGCCCTAAAAACAGACACAAGCAGCAAGCTGAATAGAGTCATTAGCTCAAAGCATCTTGCATCACTCCTGGGAAGGAACATTATCTCCCTTTTACAGAAGTGTGTGCATTCACTCCCTGCGTATCCAAGGTTTTTGCAGATCATGTTTCCATGGCATCTAAGCATAGATGAAATCCAAGTAAGTATGAAATTCACATCTTTTAAAAAGAGTGCCACAAGAGGCATCTGTTTATCCAGTGTTTCTTACCTAATTAAATCTAGGTTTGGAGCTGACTGGTGAAGCTGCAGTAGATCATAATGGTTGGGGTCCCAAATTTGTTCAAATAAGTTCTTTAAGCCACCTTAATGCTAGTCACCAAAACATATATTTAGTAATAATATGGAAATTCATTAAATTTATAAATACTTAGGCCAATCAATCAAGGAACAGCCAGCATCATACGAGTTAGATAGTTAATTATAGTGTGTGAATACTCACAGCAACAGGCTTGTGACCAAACATTAGATAAAATTTGTTTGCACAAAACTGTTCATTTGATCATTGACAACAACAGGCAAATGCAAGTCACTCGGTGTAGATAATTTGAAAAGGATGGAAAACGGCTAAGTCTATCAGATAAATTATTCATAACAAAAATTCAACTAGCTCTAGCTGAATCAGATATAGTTGAAGCCTTTAGATTATTTTTCCTATTCTACAAGCCGTAAGATTAAAAACATATTCTCCAATTTCTTCTCACCTCTTATATTATGCGTATTTGAAATTTTAAAGCCACCTACACATATAAATCATGCTTACCCAACAATCACAACATCACAATCAGAACACTGCTTAATCTGGATAGAAATCCTTAGCTAAAAATAAAATAAAATAAATTGAATAATCTTGAGTAGACAAAAAGTCTATCTTCAATAGATCATGAGAAAAGAGGTACTGGGGGGAGCAAACAAGGAAGGAGCATTATGTCTAGAAACTCCTCTACATACCAACGAGTCCAAAACCCAAATGCTCTGGTTCCATATTCAGCTTCTGGTTGGGGGTGGAGGGCCTGGCGGTGGGCTGGAGCCCATCTGGCCTTGCTGCTGCCACCACTGGCACCTCATCAGCTTAGACAGGCAGCCACAGACAAATAATTAGTTTTATAATTTTTTTAGGGGCCCTGCAGGCCTGGTGGGCCACATCTGGCCCACAGGGCATATTTTGACCACCCTTGATTTACAGTTTTAATAATTTCTGCAGGAGGTAGGAGACAGAACTTAGCTCTAACATGTTTATTACTTTTTTTTAAAATCCACTCCCTTTCTACAAGCATATTTGGACACCAGCAAATAAGATCCAAGTGAAAAAGCTGAAAAACTGAAGGAGCAATTCTCACATCACAGCCTGGTGAATGCAACAGCTGGCAAGAGTGGCAATTGATGCGTCTAAAAGTATTATTCAGCTGCTGTAGGCTGAAGACAAAACCCTAAAAATCGACATCTAAAACAAAATAAATGGCTTCTTACAGAAGGAGAAAAGCTCCCTGTGGCCAATCTGTATTGGCTACAGAAAGGCCACATTTCAAGTCTGTCAGTGCCAGGCCGGTCCTCTTTCTGTTCTTCCATGCAGAACCCAGTGTACATAGTCATACCCCTCCTGGGAATTGATTGAGAAACAGCTGCAGCTCAGCTCATATACATTTTCTCTCCACACTCGTGGCAGGGACTCTGCAATCTTGCAGTGAGGACAGTTGCCTTTTGCGTCCCTCACCCCACCAAACCCAGGACCGACTCCACTATGTGAGAAACAGCGGACAGTGCCAACCAGAGAGATGAACTGATGGAAAAGAATAATCAGACATTTAGGGTTATATAGAAGCTCCATGTTCCTTTCCCTCCAACCCAAGAGAAAGGGAGGGAGAGGATGACCTTGATATTTTGCTTTCCCCATCTGACCTATTAAGTAGTTTGTTTTTCTACACAGCTGAACACTGACCTCTCCCCATTCTCACTGGGAAAGTCCTGAAGGAAGCACAAAATGGCAGGAAATGAAGAAACAAAACTATTTATCTGGCTGTTAACAACCAAAACACCCAGGGGAATGCATGTTTTAAGTGTCCAAGACAGACCTCTGGAAGGAGGCAGGAAGATGAGCTGTTTCTGCTGTACTGACATGTCAGAGAGTTACATTAGCTCACCATAGTTTCCTCTTTTACATCCCTCCAGAGGCTGTCCTGACACACGCCACATCCACTCAAGGAGAAAAAAAAGAACTACAACAGGGTACAGACTTCAAGTATTTTGCTGGAGTTTGGTTATTTTCCCCCCTCCCCCACCACACACACATATGCCCAAGATTTTCTGATGTCCCTTCTTGTTTCACTGCCATAGACTCCCTCAAGTTTTCTCTCAGCTCACAAACAACTGGATAATTTGTACTTATGATCGGGTGGTGATCACATTCAAAATCCCTTCAAACATTTTTTTTAAAAAGGGAAGGGGGAACTAAATCACAGTGGTTTTGTGGACTGTTGAGTCAGAGAATCTGTGCTTGTGAAGTTAGCTTGCCCTTAAAGCAGAGAGAAACTCCCAATTTTTTGGTACAGAATCTCTACAGTATATAGAGGGGCCGTACAGTGCCTATTGGGCACCTAGTTCAGTACCAGGCCTTTGTTACTGTCAATTCCTAGTTTGTTCAGTAAACAAGAGACATGGCTACTTTGTTATTACGGTTATTTCTGCTGACTTCTTAAGGACGCAGCTTGATAAAAAGAGAAAGTTGGACCTAGCAGAATGAAGATCAGACTGAATAAAATGCAAAGTCTAGTGGGGAGAAAGATGACAAAGCACAGTTTTGTGATAAAAAAAAAAGCTTTATCTGCTTTTAAGACTGCTGAAGACAACACCCATTCAAGAGAGGACTTAACTCTGAGCAAAGAGTATAATGATTATTTTCTACTCTCCCTAAAACTTAGAAATATTGGACTGGAAGAGACTTTTTGGGGCATCAAATCAAGTTACCTGCTGTAAGAGGCAAACATACCATTTAATCCCCTTCATAAATTTAGCAAACTTAATTTTAGGCTGTGGACAGACAAGGAGAATGTTTAAGGCACAAGCCTGTAGCTAATCATACCATGGTAACTGCACGCAAACAAGCAGGTGGTGCATTTGAAAGTGCGAGAAACAAGCAAGCTGTACCTTCAAAAGACAGGCATAGAAAGTGTGAAAAATTCAGTTCCTATTCAGCAAGAGGTAAATGTGCCAACATCAAGGCAAGACTAAACTGCTTCTGGGGCCACTAGCAGGTGTTCTCAACTTTTTAAAAAATATAGACAGCCTGGCTGGCAACATGTTGACCCATTTGTGTGTCCATGGGTTTAAGAGCAGTTAACAACAAGGCTGTTCCAGAACTTCACTACGCTGATGGCTAGGAACCTTATGTCCTACTTAAGTGTAGTGATGGACAGATTTTACCCATGTGGTCTTTTGCCAACATTGCCCTTTGTCTTTTTTTGCTTGCTGGTGTTTAGCCACACCTTCCACACCTTATAGAGAACACTAGATCCCCTCTCTGCATTTGTTTGGTTAGAAAACAACTCCAGGTGCAACAAGTTGCCTAATATATCCTGTGTCTTAGTTTCCCACTATAGGTTCATACAGTGTCTAGCATAACTGATCTTAACTGGGGCCCATTTAATTAACGGTATGACAAGAAAACAGCTCCAAGCACAGATTCTCATGTAATCTAACCCAGTGGTTCTCAACCTTTCTTGTAACAGACCTATTTGTAAATATTGATGGCCAGTCTCGATCCAGTGTCCCTCACTCTCAACCCACTGCCCCCAGTGCTAGCACAAGGCTACATGAGTGGGTGTGTGGGGCAGGCCCCCCACCAAGCAGCCCATGGCAGGCTGGAACGGGGAAAAGCCATGGTTTCCCATGTTTCTTTCTCCTTTAAAAGAGAATCCACATTTAAAGTT